CCATTTTTTAATTTTTCCCTGGTTATCCTCCCCCCCCCCCCCCCCCCCCCGCCTGCACCCCAACGGGATGCGGGTACGTCAGTGGAGATTAGAAGGGACAGCAAGGGGTTTTAGGCAGGGGTCCTGCAATTGAAGGCTTTCAAGCAGGTGACTTTTGTGTCACATCAAACGGTCGGCAGAGACTCTGCGACTGCAGAGATGGCCGGTAGATGGTGCTTTCGGCTCACGAACAGAAGAAGCTGTATACCTGACCAGAAAGGAGTAGAGGAATTCTGAGAAGAAAAGTTGAGGCCCTGAGGACTGAGAAAAGAAAAGTTGTAGGAAGCACAGGAAGCTGCAAAGAGGTCAGAGAGAAACACAGAGAAGCAGAGGAACAAGAATTAAAAAGGAAATGAAAACCCCGCCATGCCGTAAAAGCTAACAAAGAAAGATAAAACAAAGCATGCAGCACTTGGTCAGAAGCTCTCGGCGGTGGCAATAAGGCAGCAGAAAAAGCTTGGACAAGACTGCGAAGGCAGCTAACCTCGCTAAAATACACTGGCCAGATTTGCCTTTACTCACACCAGCATAAATCAGGAGGGAGATTCCCAGGCCTGCTTCTCATTTTGGAAACGTTGGCATGAATCTGGTGTCACTGGCCATTGCAGGAAGGTGGACAGCACTAGCTGAACATTGTCAATCAAAAACCTTCCCTGCCTCCCCGCAACAGAGAAGGCCATTCCTTGTGGTTGAAATTCGATTTTTATACCATTTTCAAACCTAACCATTTTAACTGTCAAATGTTCAACTTTGAACATAACGTGATTTTCATAAGCCAAACTCATTCCTTCCTTCCTTCTTTCCCCTCTTTTGAAGACTAGGAAAAATTAAAGGAATGCTACTTAGTAAAATGACATTTTTTTCAAAATTAAAAAACAAACATTGAAAACATTCATTTTTGAAGCTTTCAGAGAAAATGAATTTTCTTTTGATGTCAAATTTGCCTTTGTTAAGACATTTTTCTGAAAAAACACCCCATTCATTTTAGCAATCAGATCTTGCTTGCTTGAAGACTTTCGCTGGGTTTGAAATGAGCATAATCAGACTATTTTTCAGTTAGGTGCAGAAGCATTTGCAGTTAAATAGGCAGGATGCTTGTGTCTCCTGCTGAACAGGTCTTCCTGCTCATTTTGATGGGCTTCTGTCCTTTTATATTTATAATGAAGCGCCTGACATTTCTCAGGCAGAGATCACCAACTAGTCTGATTTCTGGCACACCATAATTGGTGCTTGCTTTAGCAGTATAAAGGAGATCCTACAATGTGCAGAACACCCGCCCCGCCGCAGAGCAGAGCGCACTTGGCAAAACCATAACCGTAGCCCATTATGCAAAAAGGGGCTGGAAAATTGGTAAAGGGATACAGCAGAAAATAAACCCAAAAGGATCACAGACAACAAGGTCATTTCCTGGAGGATGTTTGAAATGAAGGCTCCAAATGAATTAAAATGAAATTTCCTCCAAACAAAAGGAAAGCGAATTCCTCCCCCATGAGCTTCTTCCACATCTGACTTTACAAACTTCTTTCCCACCTCCCATGCGATCTCGTGCTGAGCCCCATCCTTTCAGCATCTCTGCTGGGGACAGGACAGGGGGAGCCCAGCCTGAATCACTTGCTTGGAAAGAAACCAGGACAGTACAACTGACAGAGTGTGAGACTTCATTTCGGGCTTAAGAAGCCCAGATCGTAGACTGGGCATATTCCTTTCTTGAGGTCACAGTAGAAGGGCTTAAGAGTCCCTTCTGACCATAAAATCTGGGACCCCTATTTTGTTACTAGATGGATCTTCTATACTTAACCCCGCAGATATTTCTCAAAGATAGGAAAGGGGCACTGGCAGGGTGGTTTCCCACAGAAACGGCTGTGTTAGATTGGATGCGCTTTGCTGGGGTGGTTAAGATGGTTTTTACCTGGGGAGCGAGTGAAGGTTCTGGAGGTAGAGCGTTCCCGTGATTTATATGGGTACTTTAATGTTGTGTCCAGCTGTTTAAAACTCTCCTTCAGTGAGTGGGTCTGGTAGTACTCAACTAATTCCTGGAGAGAAGACATCATGTGCATTAGATTGTCACTGGGGTTCAGCAAGTCTCCAAACCAGCCAATGGTACCCGCAGCCACAGCCTGAGCAGCTTCAAAAACTTACCAAGAGACTTTCAAACTTTTTGGCTTCTGTGATGTGAATCCAGTTGTCCTTCTCCACCACCTTTATGTGTTTTACTTCCTCGTTAAACCTGTGACAGGAATCACAGCAGCTCAGAAACCTCCTGACACATAGGCATTTGATTATGCCTCACTGGGCATATCTACACATGTGCATTTACTGCGCAGTAACCAAAATGACTGCAAAGTATGGGTGTGCATCTACACGCGCATGCCTATACAGTGCAGTAAATATGGTGACTTATGCTGACTTGAGCATAAATTTGATACCTGCATCATGCAGGTATCAAATTTATTCCTGACTAGTTACTGTGCATTAACGCTGTGTGGGGACTGACTTGGGATTAATTTTAGTCCCAAGTCTGTCCACGCACAGTGTTAACATGCTGTCATACATTTCATAGACATTAGGGCTGGAAGGGACCTCGGAAGATCATCGAGTCCAGCCCCCTGCCCCAGGGGCAGGAAGTCAGCTGGGGTCACAGGATCCCAGCAAGATAAACATTCAAATTTCTCTTGAAGGTGTTCAAAGTAGGTGCTTTAACACCTGCACATGTAGACGCCTGCCTTTTCCCACTTACTGCACAGTAATTTCAAGCCGGTGTAAATGCACATGTAGACACACCCACCATGTAATTGTACTCAGCGTTTTTCTCTCTATTGTGAACATTAATGGCTTGTTTCAACCCCCTGGCAGGCATGACAATATTCCCCATTGCAGATGGAGAGTCTGAAACATGAGGTTAAGTGAGGTGAGGTCATCTGAGTCAGAGCTGGGAGCAGAACTCTCCCATTCCTGGCTTAGTCTTGCATGAAGTACCCATGAACCTTAGTAGCCATGTGTGGGGTCACAGGGAACTAGCTGTTCAGTGTAACACCATGCTACAGCCACTGCCTGATGCCTGAACTTCCAGAGGAGCTACCTGAGTAATCCAGAAATACCCCGATTCCAACAGCCCAATACCAACGTCTAACTGGCCCTTCATCTCAGTCCTTCTACTTGGTACTGATTTGATTGCTTCAAATCCAGCAAGGATGTGGTTATCTGCTCATACAGCTGGGCATCAGCAGTAATGCATCTTAAAATACATGCCTCCAAGTCGGCTTAATAAGGGGAGCTGCACTTGCTATTTCAAAAGAAGGAAGAAAGAAGCATCTTCCATCGAAAGTTTACCAGACTCTAATACAATCGGGCTGTCATAAGAATCACGAGATTTCCTCAGAGGCAGAGCCAGAGGAGAGCGAGGCTTGCACATTCAACAACGTCATGCTCACAGGCACAGCCAAGGTTGCTACCAGCTCACTCCACCATGCTGCCCTGTGTTCCCTGGACACTTTATCTCTGCTCCATTCATGCAAACACCCGCTGTTTCACATATATATATTGTAAGGGGCTGGAAGATCATCGGGTCCAGCCCCCCTGCACGAGGCAGAAAAGACAACTGGGGTGAGGTGATGCAGGAATGTCTTTGCACATCTTCCACCGGGTGCTGGGTCGTGGCAGAAGCCTTACTCAGCGTAGTGATGTAGGTGGCTTATACTCACTTAATGCTAATTGCAAAGCGTTCAGCCTCCGCTGGCCTCTCCCGGATCAGGTATGTCCCACTCGCATGTGACTTCAGCAGGTTGTCGGCCTGCTGCCTCTCCATGTTCCCAGCAAACCTAAATGGACACATCCTTTAGGTGCTGCCATCACAGAGCAGCCAGGTACCATGGGGGGAGGGCTGTCAGACAAGGCTCTGTTAGGTACCGTGGAGAGTTGTACAGCACTTTGAATTGTACAGGAGTTAAACCTTCAATAAATTATTCCCTATTGATCAGAAAAAAAACCCCTCCTTAAACAGAAAGGAGCAAGGACTTATCCATTGCATTTCCCCCACTTCTGCATTAAGTGACAGCATGGTCCTTACACTAGCAGCTACTCTTTTATGATCTCACGAAAGCCTTATAGGCCCTGGTTCTCTACTTGCCTTCCTCACAGACCATGCTGTTAGACAGCACCCTCCAGAGGTGATAAACCTTCTTTCTGATCTCGGGCACAAAAATATTGCACTGCTCTAGCATGGTACAGAATTTGCATATTAATAATGTTAGGTCAGATTTTTTTTTTTAATTATCACCTTAAAGATTTGCATTGTGTAACAAAACAGTCCACTTTTCAAGGGCAGCTGGGAGGATCATTCAAGAAGGTCTGATCAAGCTCTTTATATGCAGACAAGAAAGTGATCAGAGGTATTTAAATTGCCAGGAACTACTTTGCAATTTAAGAGGAAAGATTTAGTGACACAGAATCCTTTGAAGTCCCTTGATTTATACAGCTCCTAGAAAAATCACATGGATTGAGCAGGAGTCCCCAGATGAATAGATTTTAGTGAACTTCTTTGGGGGTTAATTTAGGACTCGGGAAAGTAAAGCGCCGACAGAAAGAGCTTTAGGGCAGAGGTGGGGATATACGAAGCACACGTTTTCCTGCAATAATCTCCTGATGCTATAAACTGACCTCCTGCATCTGTCTCCTGAGCAGGGGGCTGCCAATCATGTCAAGAGGCACATGGGACAAATAACACAGAGGAAAGTATAATGACATCGACAAATGCATTTCTACTTGTGCTCTCATCTATGATCATTAATGACGGCACCACTGCCAGGCCCCCTCTCCACATGCACGTAAAGACGCAACAGGATCCAACGTGCGATTCACACAATCACCCCTCCTGCCATACCACACACGCAGGGCAGGAGGCACGATTGTGGGATCACACATTAGATCCCATCATGCCTTATGGCTTGTGTAGGGGGGGCCCAGGCTCCCCCTGTACCAGCAAGTAGTAGTTTCCTAGAGTTGGGAGCCCCATGCATCCCAGGTGAGGGGCCCCCAGCCACAGGGGTGTCCCATGCAACCCTAGGACTGGGGGTCTGCTGCTGCAATGATCTCCCCTTCCCGGAGGTGTAGGGATCCCACAGGGCCAGAAGATTGCTGCAGGGTGATCCCTCTGCCTCACGGGTGTAGAAAACTTCTGGGGCTGGAGGATCACCATAATCCTCTGGCCCTGGGGGTTTCCAGCATTCTGGAGCCCTATGCATCACAGCTACCATGATCCCCAGGGTCCAGTGGTTTCCCATACCCTCAAGCCCTAAGCACTACAGCAGCCATGATCCATAGGGCTTGGGAGTGAGGGAAACCCCCAGACCCTAGGGATCAGGGCTGCCACCATCCCTAGGGACTGGGGTTTTTTTCCTGGGCATGGTGCACCCCTGCAGCTGGGAGCCCTGCAGGGAAGACTGCTACACATGCAAATTAAAGCTCGATAGCAACCGGCTATAAAGTTAGTACAGGTTTTTGAAGTCTAACTTTATAGCTGGTTGGAGCTTTTTATTGTGTGATAGCTACTTTGCACGTGGAACCGTGGAACACCTGTGACATGTAGAGGGATAGCAGTGGGGCTTTGGATTGGGCTCTGAATTTAGACTCCGCTCATCAGCAACAAAATGCTTATGCACCAATGCAGTCCACCATCTTTGCCCTGTTCGTCTGAAATTCCCACCGCTTGCAACAGTGGCTAGGATACAAAAGCAGATTCTCACTCCCATTCGTAATTTGGTATTACACAGCGGATGTGAGACAAAGAAACAAAATTAGATGGCCAAGTCAATATATCTTTATGTTTGTCATAAAGTATTTTTATCTGTAGGTCCAATTTAACAACCGACTTACCAAGGGTACGCGGTGTAGTCTATTTCTCTCGAAGGAGGCCGGCTGTTGGGAGGCTGAAGCAAAGAGAATAGTGCTTGTTACTGGAGAGCACAGATCTAATTAGGTTATAGATCACCTTGGATATGCTCCTCTCTGGGAGTCTTTTTATATGCCAAGCATTTTATGAATTATTCTCTTCGGAGTTGGAGGAAGGGTGCTATAATCAACTGCAGCTCTGTTAAACATGCCACACAAAATAGCTATGCTGAGTGGACCATGGCCTTTGATTTATTTGAGCCCTTTATTGTTGAAAAGCAAGTGAAAGCTTTTAAAACTTGCAGTGAAAACCAGGACGTAGGTTTTGCACTGTATAATTGTTCTCAAGGCAGGTTGCAACATTGGGTGAGCATGGAAAAAGTATGCCACACAAAGGAAAGCAACTTTCTAGAAGGGCAGAACTGGGAAAAGACACAGACTCCTTGCTCATTGCACTCCCCACTAGATCACACTGCATTGCTGACCTGCAGAATAAGCTCACTGCTTGTTTTTAGATGATCTGTTTCTTGATGTCAAAGTCCAAACAGAAAGAGGAAGTAAGCAGATTAGTCATTGACAGTAATCCCTCACCAGCAGCATCCTGAGGCGCATGGCCAAAGGTTGAAATATTATAACCAATGGCCAAAGGTGCCACCCAGTCAGGGAGATGACATCTGGGTACAACTGCTGCCAAACATATCACCCAAAGAGATGAATGGCAATTGCAGCCAGGGCTTTACTAGAAGGACTGGGGAGAATGTGCGCACGCATTATTTTAGATTGGATAAGCATAGGTCAGATCCATCTACAGTGTTACTTGAAGAGCAATAATAGCATAAGGGGCTTGGGCTGCCCCCCAAAACTGATGCCATCAATGACTAAGGCCGAGATGCATGCTGGGGTTTTCAAGTGCAAACACAAGGACTTGAAACTAAAGCATTAATTTGGAGGATTGTTCACCGGAGGCTGCAGCACATCTCTCTGCTAAAGCACTGCTTCTTGCTCCTGCTGAGCCACTGTCAGACTTTCTTGTTTACTTGATTTTCACATAAAGCTGCAAGGGAAGAAGCACTCCCTTGCCAATGGCCTGAAAGTCTCCTCTCCCAGTCTGTCCTGCCCAGCAGACTTGAGCCACAATAGCAAAGCCAAGGCAGGACAATGTCCCATAATGCTAGCAGCAGAAACATTGCACACCCATCGCAGCGAATGGCTCTCCAATGGTTAATCTGACAGCAGACTGTCAGGCATTTTACTCAGTTCAGTGAAGAGATGCCATTTAGAGTAATTAAAATTTAAACAACAACAACCCCATGGCACACAGTATTTATGTGGTTTCAAGACACGGCACTACAGTACATCAAAGCAAATCCTTTTGGCCTGATAAACAAGCATGACTGTCTCTTTAAGCAAAATAACTTGCATGCTCCATCCCAAATCCCTTGGCAATCTTGCGTGAAATATCTGAAGAGGAACCAACGCAGGCAGCCGTTCCTACTTCCTTGACTGAGCTGAGCCTGCCGGCAAAACTCACACTTCAGGAGGTGTTGGAGTCTCTTTCCTGGGCATAGCTGGGGGCTCCCGACAAAGCGCCGCTGTGTGAAGTTACCCTCTGGAGAAAGGCATCAAACACCTGTGCTATGTGACATCCTTCCCTCCCCATAATGTGCATCTCCCCCTCTGAAATCAAGCCCCAGCAGGGAGGGGCGTAGACTCAAATGGCCAAGTGCATTCCTGGAAACCCAAAGTGACTCCCTTGCAATAAGCAGAGATGTCCAGTATCCTATAGATGCAGACTGTGATTTAGATGTGTGTGCTTTATCAGGGTCCCAGGTCAGACCCCTACTTCCCAAGCATCCCCCTTGCATGCTGGAGATGCTTGGATCCAGATCTCGGTACTTACCCTGGCATCCACAGGACAGGGCTTTACTGACGAGCTGGGGAAATAACCTGATTTCTTGGTCTGTATTAACCTCCCCTGTAAAAACCAAGCGAAAGACAAAGATCAGCACTGGGGAAAGTGCTTGCGGGGGCATGTTTTCAGCACAGCACTAGCAGGATGAGACAGACTGCTCCGGCCATTGGCGATTGCAGGCTGCATCCCTCCCTCACCCAGCCTCCCAAGACATACCCTTGGAAACTCTGACCCCGTGAGATCACACGCCAGCAGCAAGGGCTACGAGTGCCGTCAAAAACAAATCAGAGGACTCTGAGACGACCCAGCTGCCACAACTGAAGAGTCTCTGGACATTTCCCAACGGGCAGCTCCACTCACCTCCCACCACTGGGAATCCGGGTCCCCTCTCAGCAGCTCTATTACATCCCCAGTTTGAAATGTTAGCACTGGTTTCCCCGGGGGAGCTGGGTTGCCATGGTAATTCTGAACTGCCACCATTTTAGGACCTGGAAAGAGAAATGGAAGAACAGCTTCGTTAATGGTTTTGTTAAAAAGAACAAGACCGGTTGTCACCACCAGATCCCTTTGTGACCCATCCAGCCGTTGTTACTACAAGCACCCTTTGTGACCCTGACCATCAGCTGCCAGGATGTGTTCAGCGGAGATCATGAAGGCTAATGGGATCAGTGCTTGTGGTACCATAGTGGCAGGGCACCCCTCCTGTGCATGGGCCACCTTCCTGCTCCAGACCCATGCATGCCCCTTAAGTAGTGCCAGCATCACCCCTGTTGCCCGCTTGTAAGCAGACTGGAAACTGAGGCGTCTTGAGGCAACTGCAGGGAGAGACTCCCAGACCAGCTTCACCTGGATTGGGAGCTTGCACGCAGGTAGGGCATCCCTGCAGAGACAGGCTGCCGCTAAAGTAGAAGCACACCCATGGAGCTGCAATTAGCCTGAACTAAATGGTTCATTTGAGAATGAGCAGCAATCAGAATAAAATGTGGGCAGATAAAGATGGGCCGGACGAAACCCCAGCTCATCACCTGGACTTGAACACTGCCGTTTCAGGTAAGCTCTTGTTGGGCAACAACAAGTTACAAACAACCCACTGCATAGTAAGTACCAAAGACTGGGATTGCAAAAGGGCCAAATAACCACTCAGTTCCCACAGGGTTTCAGTGGGGCTGGGGACACAAACTCCCTGTGGTCTCTTTGTAATTCTCTGCAAAAGTCCATATGCTTTGCAAATGATTGCACATGAAACAGTCCTCCTCAGCTGCATTCAGCCATTATTTGTCCTTAACCCTTTCTTAGAACAGCCTTCTCCCCCAGCCCGGATCAAAGAGAAGCAATAGGCTTTAAAAGCAATCTTTTAAAGATCCCCAGCTCGGGCTAGGTGAACTTCTCTTACAGGAAAGAGACTTCTTTTGCCGGACAGTGCATTTGGGACTATCCCAGAACCACAGTCTGCACTAGCAGAGGAAAGTGCACTAGTGACCGAAGTGAATCATGATCCCTTCAAGAGACAACTGCAGGAGTTGCACCATGAATTATTACAACCGCTGTGCTCTGGGCTTGCAATCTTACAGGAGGATGTTCCACTCCTGTCCGCCTAACTGGGCTCTCTGCTGAGACAAGATTGGTTTATTTCCAGGGAAGATCTGGCACAATAAATTTCCCCCACTCTCTTTGGGACAGAACAGTTATTTACAGGAAGCAGAAGTCTTCCAAGCAGTCAGCCAAGGAGCCAAACAGCACAGATGCAATAAAGCAAGGTGGTGTCAAAATGTCAGTTGGCATGGGATGGCACTGAAGAAGACCCTTCTTGTGGCTTTAGGCTACTTATTCGTAGAGGAGGAATAAACTTATAAGGATTCTCACAGGAAACAAGTTGGCTTGGGCTCAACTCCATTGCCTGTTTTGTGCAGAAAGCAAGGTGCCCTTCTGCAGATATCAAGGCTTCTTATAACTGAGAAAACAAAAGTGCTTAACGTAGGAGGAGGACGAACAAAGGGGAGAGGGACCTATAGGTGATAGGCAGGAGCAAATGTCTACAATAGGGCTTTTCGTGATGTCACTATTTTTTTTGGTGGTGGGAGATGGGGAAGAAATGTCCTCAAATGACATTAGGTGCAAAGCCCAGGGAACCCCCTTCCAAAATTTGCTGACCAGCTCTTTGAACCAGAATCCAGAGGTGCCTCCTCCCCAAAGTGCCCTTTTGTAAAGCAACAAAATGAAAGATGCCCTTACCAGGTCCTACATTTAATGGGTCCTGCAGAGAGAGAGAAAGGGAGAGAGAGAAAGGAGCAAGTTCAATTAGGTTTATTGCTATTGAATGTACTGGAAGATAAAATACAACATTGTGCACCAGAGCAAGCTCTGCCCTGCCCTTGTTACCACAAAGCCCCACTGGCAATTGTGGCAGAAGTCACTGTTTTCCAGGGGGCAGGGAAATACGGTGTCATTCCTCAGAGATAACTGTTCACGTTTAGTACAGGAGGGTTTCAATTCTCTGTAGGAGCAGACTTCACAGATAGACAAAGGAAATACCAGGATGAGAAGTAATCCCCTTAACTCCCCGCACAGGTGATCTGAAAATCAGCATCGCTGGCAGCTCAGTGGGTGAGTATTCCTGGTGGTGCCCACCACCAGTGGAGGGTGAGGACAGTAGTATTTTAAAAAACAGGCCAATTTGAGCTAAAACAAAAGATATCTGTCATCGGGCCCGATCCTACTCGGTCTTTGCAGATCCTACTTAAGTGAAAGGAAAGCAGGAGCATTCAAAGGTAACCAGAAACATTTAAAAGAAACCAGGAGCATTCAGTTCCCGGTGGGATCAGACCCAGGTCAGGAGGGGCTCAAAATATTATCTCGTGTCATATGTTCAGTGCCTGCCGGGGACTGTCCCCAAGGGCCACCCATTCTGCCGAAAGCTCGTGGCAGTAATTAAATCTGGACTAGTAAGACACAGCTGCAGTCGGCCAGACAATCCCTCCCCACAGATGGGCGTTCAGCATGGACGAGAAGGCCGTGAAACAAACGTACCTGGTCTGCCGAGGAACCTGAAAATAAACGTTAAAAGAAAAGGGTTAATTTAGGGAGAACCACATCCTGCTTGACATCTCACTCTGCTCAAGGAGACAGGAGCCAAGTGACTCCATGCACCAGCTTCTATGCACCAGCCTGTCTGCATGTGGTGGTGGTTTGGGAGCAGGAGAAAGAGAGCAGATAGAGGACCTAGGGCTGGTATGTTCATTAGGAATTAGAATAAGAACAACATCCTGCCATCACCACATCAAGCCAGATGCAGTAGTTATTATACCCTCCTCATTAGGAGTGAATTACTCCCTTCTTCCCTATCACTCGCACACACGTATGTGCACACGCACATTTGCTCTCGCTCTCTCATCATCTCCATTAAAAACATGCAGATTTTATCCCACTGGTCTGGCTGGTCACCCAGAGAAAGAAAGTGATCAACAATAAAGAGTTATGATACTGGAACCAGCTTTAATAGAGAAAGCAATTATGTGTTAGTTTTTAATTATTCAGGAATAGGACGTAAATTTTTAGATGGAATTTAATGCAAAGAAGAAAAGGCAAAGAAAAAGGTTTTGGATGATTCACAAGCCATAGAGTCCCTTTTGAAAAGCAGCTTAAGATACCGGGTGACTTACTGATTTTGCATGGTGGGATGATTTCCAAGCATTCTTTGTGAGCGCCTGCCCCACACTGTGTGCAAAGATAGCCCTGGTAGAAAGTTCCTCTGTGAAAAGAGATGTTGGAAAGTCATGAATTTCATCTCCCTAATTACTTGTTCTCCTAATGACCATTTCCATTTTCTTTCACGTTCAATAATTTGTTTTAAGCTGTTCTTGGTGTTGCTGGTGATGCTTGTGGAAGACCCCAGGATTGACCCATTTTGAGTTTATCCAACTACCAGGGGTAAAAACACCCACAGGCCTCCACATTGTGCTGAAAGACCACCTCTATGTGAACAAGGTGGCTCCAACTTCTTCTCCTTAGGCTCGAGGCTGAGGATTGAGCTTATGCCCACTGCTGTGCTGTTGTACACAGCATGGACACTTGCTCACTGGGAACTGGATTGAAACCCCAGTTCATTTTTACTTTGGTCACCGGCATTCACCTGATAGCAACCCTTCAAGCCAGGGCTAACTTGGAGATTCAAGGTGGTAACCGCATGGGATGTGGCTCTTTTCCCCTCTACCGTTTCTAACCCCCTCACCCTCCCTTCATGCAGGCCACCTTATGAAAACTGGAAGTCAAGGCACAGCCCTGTTTTCCTGCTGAACGAATTAACCGCTGAAGTCAAAATGCAGGGTTAAAATCTCAGCCAGTGGATGTATTTGCAAGCAGGGAAAGGCTGAAAGTTAATTCCATAACATTATCTGGGCTGGTTGATTCCAAAGAGCTGGAAAAACCCAGCTTACCTTAAAAACATCTTGCAAGCTTTGCAATTGGTCGTCTTCTCGAACGTGTACATCTGGAAGTTGTGGTGATTTGCATTGGCTTTCTCTGGCTTAATATTGGACCTGGTTCAAGAGTGGGAGGGGTGGGGGGAAGGTGTGGAATAGGTCAAACCATTCTCGTCAGACATTTGGAAGTGCTGCGTTTCTTTTAGCAGCTCGCCCACGATGGCTGGGATCGGGTGCAAGCGTGAAAAGTTTTGAAGCCATGTGTGGGTGTGCATTAAATTATTTGCAATACATTTATGCATAACCCTGTTTCTCTCTCCCAGCCGGAGTCGCTTGGTACCTAGGACTCCCTCTGTGCAGAGGGCCAGCGCAAGGTTGGCCTCACCTGCATTCTCAAGGCAGGCCTTACCCAGGATGCAAAGACTTAGTGCCAGTTCTCTGCACAGATTAGGGCTCGATTTTGATGGCTTGATCAAATAACAACTTAGTGTTTCTCACCACGTTTCCTCTCAAAGACTACAGGCAAACTGTACCTTCTAAGCCCTTCAAGGGAGGACAAGGAGCTGCGACTCAGGATCTGTTACCTCTGCATGCTCCTTTAGGGACACCCACCACACGGTAACCCCGAATCAAACAGGGCTGAAGTTCCAGCGGTTTTGCTACGCTTGTACCTCTATGCCTCACGAGCTTGTATCGATTCACTTTCTTATTGATGCAGCTGTGAATTTCCATCCCTGGAAGTTTTCAAAATCAGGTTGAACAGCAACTTGGCTGGGATGGTTTAGTCAGAGATGATCCTGCCTTGAGTAGAGGGCTGGACTAGATCTCATGAGGCTCCTTCCAGCCCTACTTTCCTATGATCCTAATTACTACGTCTGTCTATACCCGGAGCAGCCACTTCCACGACTACCCAGGCACATGCATTTTTTGCATGAACAGTTTGGTAGCTGATATCACACAGGCCACAAATACTGGAAGTCCCATCGAGCATGGAGCTCCCAGAGAAGTCAGCAAGAGGTGCCATGCTCTGGTGGAAGGTGTCCCAAATCTGAGCCCTGCCATGAAGAGCTAGCAATCAGATGGGCCCAGATGCTTTTTGGCAATGGCAATTATGCTCAAGCAGACCTCAACTTTGCAGGAAAAACTCAAGCACTCACATGGCCATTTCAAACTGCTCCACCCACTTCCTCTTCATCTCTTCCGTCTTGCAGAAGAACTGGAAACCCTGCTTCCCTTGAAGGTGAGTTAGGTAAAACCCGTACGACCACTGCAACAGGAAACAAGAGAATGGATCAGATGTGGTTCTTCCTCCCTGGATACCTTGTACTGAATGCTTCAGGAACAAAGCTTTGGGGTTTGGGCTCGGGCCTCTGCTTTACCTTCCTCTCTTTGGTCACCTCTCCAATTAGGTCTC